ACATGGGCCTAAATCCTCTTAGGCTTTTTCTTAGCATACTGACCCCTACATATGGGCAAAATATAAGCAAAATCGGCGTGAATCACTTGAAACGGTTCCCTCGTAAGATGAAAGTATTTTTTCCATTGTAAAATTCACTACAAGTAATACTAATCATATTTATTCGATTATACTTTTCATAATGATTGATGAAAACTGTCAAAATATCAAAACTGTTTTCATGCATAATTAAGATTAAAGATCATCATCAATATAACTAATCACAATGTATATGATGTAATAAAATATTTTGGCGCATAAATAAATTCGATTCACTATAATCAACATGCAGATTTGGTTAATTATTGACGATGTCTATTCGTCTAAATACACGTCGTCTAACTACTAAAACTTCTAAATCGTCATCGATTCATTTTCACTATGGTACAAAAGAAGATGTTGGTTTTAAACGATTATTTCATTTTTTTCATCAAGCATTTCCATTAGCATTTAATCGTGAAACATTTCAACGTGCATATGATGCATCTGATATATCAAAAACTGTATATCGTACAAAATATTGTTGTAAATTAAAAATTTATGGTGCTATTTTAGCAACATCTATATTTGATTCAAATCAAAAACGTAAATTAAAAATCTTAATGCTTGTTGAAGATAATCATAGTATACATGCAATTAATATTGGTAAACATCTTTTATTACAAATGATTGAAACATGTAAACAATTAGAAAATATTATACAAATATATGCATATGTTGAATCAACAAATATTGATGGAATTAATTTTTATAAAATGATGGGATTTCAACAACGAGAAATTTTACAAGATTATTTTCCACCACGTGCATCATTAACATCGAATGCTATTAAACTTGAATATAGACTTAGAACAAGTATAAGTAATGATTTAATTAGTTATAGTAAAACAATACATAGTCCTCATTCAACAAAAAATAATGTAAGTTTTTCTTTTGTTAATATTTACTTCTTATATGATTTCTTTTTTTCTTAAAATCCTTTGAAAAGTAGATTAAATATTAACAAATATGTTTGTTTTTCTTTTTCAGAAATGTTCATTGTCCTATTAAATATCGAAAGGAAAGAATATGTACTTAATTTGATCTTTTACACATTACTGCATGAAGTTGAATAACCAAAAATCACAGAGTACCGAATCCAAATGAGTTGAGACTATATGTATTATGCAGATCTAAATAAAATATGAATAAACCTTGAAAAGAGTTTGTGTTCTTAGGATATTGCTGCCAAGACACTGCATTATTAGGGTATTTTTTCAATGGATACCGTGATTGCTCTTAGGAACATCAGAAAAAATGATTTCCGAATATTGACTTCAAACTCTTCATAGAGACAGATCTTAATGAGAATAGTTTCTTGTGAAATTTTAGAACGAACTCTTTTCAGAACATTCATAGTTTATATGAATCTACATAACTCATAGAATCCCAGAATAACAAAGATTACATCATGAAAAGAATACATAGCGAAGGCAATATGATCTAAATGTTATTGTCACATATCATGAAAATCAACTCTTACCGAAATATTAATTGAAGAACAATGACATATTGCAGAAAATATAGCGTACTGCTTTTACTATCAGCGTACATAAAGAAAAATTTTCTTTGAATTTTCTACAGGATATTGAAGTACATCTGTCAGTACTTTTAGTATGTTCTAAATAGAAACTTCTAATTAATAAAAAAATGATTGTTAGATCTTGATGTATTTAGTTTGGGTAACGTTAAATCTAGAAAATAATTTATTAAGTTAGCCAACAAAGTTCTCAGCAAAACTCTTCTAATAGATTGATGATTATAAAGAAAACAAAGATAACAAGCTCCATACCACGAAAAATTCTCAAAAACTATTGTCCATTTCAAAATAAAAGGCAGGTTGGTATTTTTTGAATAACTTTTGATAGGAATAAAATAGAGAGCTGCGGCTTTCATCATTAAAAAGAAAAGGCCCGATGGCATAAATCAGTGCTGAAGTCTGATTGGTTTGCAATGGACCAATCAGGTTTTTTTTCGTGGATATTTTGAAAACGATATTCTCGAGTTATTTTACGACTTCTTTGAATTGTTGGTTTGAGTGTTCAATAGGAAAAACTGTTCTCCTTCGATCTACACAAGGTCGCTCTTCCTAGCTTGTTCCGTTCAAGAGTTATAAGGGTTTTCCTGAGACGCCTGATTTCACCTATTGAACGTTGGATCACGCAGAAAGGCGTCTAGAATGGGGTAATTCATCATGCTGAGTTGAATGGTGATGTTTGGTTTTGGATTCTGAAGTATCTGACACTGTTATTTTACAAGTTTTGCTAGATGCCATCTCATTCGT